TGGAAAGATCAGAGTTGGTTTCCATTATATAAGAGAAGAAAGGAATGGCGCTGTGTTGTTAACTCAGCTATAATCGCTTACAGGATGTATGCATACATCAGACAGATATCATTTAGGGAATATCAGCTACGGGATAGGGGTTCAAGAATTTTCCCGCGGTAAGGCATGCCTGCAGTAAGTTCCTGCGACAGTCGGCTCTTTATACCGAAACGACCTGGATTTTTATCCAGCCAAGACTGTCACTTCCGCAACATTCCGGCTACAGCAACAACAACGGAAACGAAGAAATTTATTTTTCTGTGGGATTTTCCATAAAAATCTAATAAAACCATAGAATTTTGTGAGAATTGTTTTTGCTAGTTTTAGCTTCAATTTTTAGTTCATTTAGCTGGATCGCTGAAAAAATTTGGGCAATACTGATAATCGGAATAATCATGTTTATTGTTCGATGTTTTATGCAAAAGGACCAGGAACCAAAAACCAAGTTCGATTTCCTTGAAATCTTATATGTAAGTCGATGTTTCCTACTTTACTTATATGTATATAACACAACATTCTTTCATAGAAAATTGGTATGGTTGGAATAAAGGTGTTTTTTTCTTCTACACGTTAGTATATTACGGTTACGGTTGGTACAATGGAGAAGATAACGATGCAAATAATATATGGCGCCGTGCTACGAGCAGAGTCCTGTGAAAAAGTTACTCAATTCATTGGTAAACATTCATTTTACAAGCTTCTTTTCTGAAGATAATTTTCTTTAAGATATAAAAGATTTCTTTTTGACAAATAAGCATATATATATATATATATATATATATAAAGTAAAAATAATTTATTAAGCAATTATTTAAAATATCAAATACTTTTTGGTCAACATATATGTATGTAAATACGTGGGGCTTAACAAAAGTTAGGTAAGATGGTGATTTTCAATTTGTTTTTATGAAATCTAAAAATACTAAATCTTTTGCAAATATCTTATTAGTCTTCTTTTCAAATTTTAGAGCAATCGGCTAAAATGGAGACGAGAAAAAATAAGATAGCTGAGAATAGATCTGAAAATCGAGATTCCCCTACCAACCCAAACGGAAATTCGCTGTAATTTACAGCCCATGCAAATACTCAGTAAATGCCAAATTGCATATGGAATGGACGCACCGTCTTTAAAGACTAATTTTAAGTGATTCCGAAGATTCCAAGCCAAACATTTTCCGTAGAGGCCAAGCCCCAAGACCCAAAATCTTCCAATGCATACGTTACTCTAGCTCTAGTGACGAAGACCCACAAGTGAATACCTTGGCTTTATCGCGAATATTAAGTAATCATTTGGGATACACGAAGAAATCTGCTCGCTGGGCACCAAGAATTTCAAACGAGGTCCAAAAAGAGGCTCGAAGGCATTTTGCTCAATTTTTCCTAAACAAATTCGAAATGGTCAGCCTAGCAACTTTAGTAAAGTCCTTACTGGTAACGAATCTTGGTTCAATAAGTACGATGCAAAAACCAAACAGCAGCCCACGGTATGGAGCCCAACAGAAGCAAACCTACCCGTAAAATCAAAGCAACAAAATTCAGCATCATTGTAGCTGCTATTCCACTAAACCACTAAAAAAGTGTGAGACGGTAAATGCAAAATGGTACACCGAAGAGTGTCTACCGAAGTTTTAAAAAATTTGTTGGAAAACTGGAGGAAGAAGGATTTGCGGCGCTACTTTTGACATCATGACAACGCGCCATCCCACACTGCTGAAATTACTGCGATATCTGGAATCGAAGAAATGCGTCCAGCACTATATTCTCCGCATATACCACATTTTGATTTCTGGTTATTTCCAAAAACGAAAAAATTATGCTGAACTTGATAAGCTTAAAAAGCAAGATTTTGAAGACTGTTTTCATACGTGGGTCTATAGGCTTGAGAAATGCATCGGCATAAATGGCGATGATGTAGAGAAGATAAGAAAGACCAAAGAATTCGAACAACTGGTCAACTTAGCGAACTTTTCTTAATTCCCTCGTGTATAAGTATATATTCGATAAATTGGGGTGTAAAATATTTCAAGAAATAAGAATTAAATTTGGTGCTTCAAATTAATGAATTTTACATTGCTAAGAATTTATACATATGTATATACACGATAAATATTTCAATGCCATTATATAATAAAAATCGATAATTCTTCATTAATTAAATAAACAGTGCTAGAGCGGAATATAAAATTTTAAATTTTTTTAAAATTTTAACAAAAATTAATAAATTTTTCAGATCGAGAACAAAAACTTCTGAAGAATAATTTTTTTGACCTAAAATATTTTGTCCAAAATTTTGAAACTGTACAAACTACACGACAAATGGTTTTCAAGAAGAAATAAAACGCATATAATTTAATGTTATTGCCAAGAATAATAAGAATTATAAAGTAATGGCATAATTAAAATGAAGAGAGTTTGCCATTATTTTGAATGTGATCACCGCTGGCTGAAATAAATTCTGGCCAAAAGGTCTAATTTTCAACCACTTTCTGTTGGCAACAACGCACCGAATTCTCTCTTCCACTGCATCAATTGTCTCAGACTTATCTACATGGACAATCGACTTCAAATAACTCCCGAAAAAATATTCCAGTTTACTGCAATAAATTGATCGTCTCGTTGGCTACATAACATGTTTATGGTCATCTTGTTGGACCCAAAAACCCTTTAGTTACTAAGGAATCTGAAATATCAGTAAGTTAAATTTTACGGAAGCTTGAAAGTATAAACTTCTAATTTTTCTTTATATATTGATGAGTGCATAAGTTCGTGCCCGATTTCAAGTGCAAACTAAAATTGAAAATTTTTGAAGAAAGCGCTTTTATTAATCAATTATGTATTCGCCATCATGTTCGGCAATCCACTCCCAACGTTCAACCAATTTACGGATGCCTGATTCATAGAAATCGCGCGGTTTCTCGTTGAAAAAGGTGTCAAGGTGGTTTTTGACGTCTTCCACATTTTTAAATTTTTTTCCATTCAAATTGTTCTGCAGCGATCGAAACAAATGATAATCAGAAGGTGCAATGTCGGGTGAATATGGGGGATGCGGCATGATTTCCCAATTCATCTCCTTCAGTTTGGCCAGGGTCGGTTTTGCAACATGTGGCCTGGCGTTGTCATGATGGAAAAGAACTCCTTTGCGATTGGCCAAAATCGGACGTTTTTCATCAATTGCTTTCTTCAATTCGACCAATTGCTGACAATACTTGTTGGCAGTGATCGTTTCTCCAGCTGGCAAGAGCTCAAAATAGATCACGCCTCGGATATCCCACCAAATGCACAGCAGTACCTTCATCGGATGCAATCCACCTTTCGACATCGGTTCCGCCCCTTCGTGTGCCTGTTTCCATGTTCTTTTGCGTTGAACATTGTTGTACAGGATCCATTTTTCATCACCAGTCACGAGCCGATCCAAAAAAGGTTCGTTTTTGATCCGTCGAAGCAAAGAAATTGCTGTTGACATACGGTCCACTTTGTTTTTTTCACTCAACTGATGTGGCACCCATGTATCGAGCTTCAAAGTGTACCCAACCTTTTTTAAACGACGAAACGCAGTTGATTTGTTGACGTTCAATTCACTGGCAACCTCTTCCGTCGAAGTACGTGAGTTATTCACAACTAAAGTCCTTAGAACATCGTCATCAAGCTCAGAAGGCCGTCCACTGCGAGGTTGATCTTCGAGATTAAAATCTCCAGAACGAAATTTCGCGAACCATTTCTTTACTGTGCGGAGTGCTGGAGCACAGTCCAAATAAATTTCGCGAATACTTTTAGTCGCAGCGCCTACTGTTTTTGCTTTGCGGAATTCGTATAACATAATATGACACATAAGATCTTTTTCGTTGTCCATCTTCCATGCGTCTTTTCACTAAGCAACTCAAATCAAAGTGAAGTTATTTTATGCTTGATTTACAGTTCGGACTGTCACCTTTCCAACTATATATAATATGTATATATTTCTTTCACGAGCGCCACTCTCAAATGATTCAAACGGCATCCACCGGGCACGAACTTATGCACTCATCCAATATTTTGTTATATTATAAAAACACGATCACTGACGAAATCCCAGTGTCAAGCAATGTGATTTTGTATGGATATAAACGTAGCTTTAATAAGCATATCAAATGTCAAAATAACAAGAAACGAGTCGGTGAGAATAACATATGCACATTTACACACTCGTATGTATGTAAATACGTGTATATGTAATTATTATTGCACTGAACTTCATTTGAAAAGTGAGTTCGCACTTGACGTGTTCGCTTGCGGCTGATCCATTCTGATCGATTTCTCTCTCTAGTTCACGGTTTTTAAATTAAAAAATATTTTAGGAGTAAGTTGAAGCTGTGAATCTGAAATTACATAATGTAGGTATTTTTTTAAATTTGTTGAACAAATTAATTTAGTTTATGAAGTAAAAAGTTTGTTCCGCATGTGTTTATGCTTGTTTATTACTTATTTCGTCTCAGCTTTAGACACTTATTAATGTTTATTTGTCAAAAATGATAACACATGTGTATGTATGTAGGTATGTACATATGTATGATATGATATGACATGCCCAATTAATACACCTTAATAATTTTATATGAACAAAATTTTGCACAGAAATCTCATATTATGAAAACTCAAAATGTATTTCAAACCATTTGGTTGGTGAAATTTTTATTACCGTCAACAGGATGAATCATACATGATTAATCTTTGCATGCTTTTGCCTTTCGAAGAATATTTATATTGTGCATACATAGTATGTATGTATGTATGTATGTATGTATGTCTGAACATCGTACATGTATAATTTCAATAAATGAATGTTTGTTTCGCAAAAATAATCACCGTCGTAATTCGGCCAAAAGCAGAGTACAACTTTACGCTTGATTGCCACATTTTGATAAAAAAAAGCAAAAACAGCTGATGTCTTCGAAGTGAGAGCAAAGACGTGTAAGCGCGTGAATTAATAACAAAGAACGGTACTTTAAATTCGTCTATTGCGATATTTGATGTTGGTTTGTGTTTGATTAAATTAAACTATATAGTATTTATATTATCAATTTTGTGATGGAAAAATCATCATTCAGCATTCCACTGCAATTGGCATAGCATTTTATCCCTGAATGGAGTTGTACTGGATTTTGAAAACAAAAAAAATCAACGAAAGTTAAGTTCTTAAACAAGTAAGTAAGAAAAAGTTCAGGTAAAAACTCGGCTGATATTAATATTAAACGCCATGCGGATTTTCTGACTTGCAAGCGGGAATGAATCTGGCTACGCATTAACTGTGAGTGAAGTAATTTGCGCGTTTCGCATTTGTGCTTTTTTTAAATGGAAGTCCAGTTGTATAGGTTGTAGAATTTATAGACTCGTGTTAGTATTATTTAGTAGATGTTTGAAAATCGCTTTAACTGTCATATTCATCAAGCGAGATCAAGTTTTATCGTTTAATTAGACAGACCAGGAACTGATGGTATGTTGACAGCCATTTTCGGTAAGACTTTCTTCTTCGCGCCATTTATTTCTTCTTTGAGCTGTTCGTATTTGTACCTGTTCCACATGATCTTTATAATTGATTAGGTGAAACGAACTGCGTCAAAAACTTTCAAATGTAGTTTATTGTCGTCAATACGGACAACGTAACCAAGCCAGCGTAGTTGCAGTGCAGTTGTATTTAATATCTCATACAGCTCTGGTTCGCAGTATTGGTAGTGCCAATGCTCAAGAGTTCTCTTGAAAACCCCTAATGCTGACTCATCAGAACTCTAGGCCTTTGCTCCAAATAATAACGAATAATGAGAAAATTGTAGATGTGGTTTTTCTTCGCCGAGAGGATTTACTTTTCAATTGTATAATCGACAGTCCACAGTAAAATTTGTTGGCATGAGTGATGTTGCTTCGAATTTCAAGGCTAACATTATTGCTTAGGTGAACGAAATTACCTACGATCTCGAAGTTATGACTGCCAACAGTAACTTGGAAACCAAGAAACGACGAAGATGCTGTCTGATTGTTTGATTATAGGGGATATTTGCCGCGATTCGTCCACTACCAAACCCGTTCTCCCTATGTTCTTATGAAGCAAACAGAGCTAACGGCGCGAATGTTCTAGTTAATGATATCAACATAACATGATTCATAGTGATCTTGTTTGAAACCTCGTTTGATGCCAAAGGGATTTGGGAGGTCCTTCCCAATTCTGACATCTCTTCTGATTTGCAAAAATACTAAAATAAGGCAAAGTGGCTTCTTTTCTGTTGATTCTTTTTTTATGAGACTTTTCCAAGTTTGAACGCATGTTACATAACTGATCATAACTGAGCATAACTGTGGATTTACCAGGTCTAAAGCAACACTGATGATATCCAAACAGTTCGTTACGGTGAGCTTTAATCTTTCCTACAACACGTTCAATAAAATCTTATATACCATATTGGCGAGAAATATCCGTAATATTTGGAGTCTCCCTTCCTATGGATTAGACATAGCATATATAGTTTCCAATCATAAGGCATACACTCATCTGATTAAGATTTGAAAAGAAACAGTTTCTGACACTTTTCTAGTTTTTCGCCACCATTTTTAAAAATATTAGCTGGTAATTCTTTCATGCTCAATCCCAACCAGGGCATAGAAAATCTTCATATTTACAGATTTTGCTCTCTTTTTCCGCTTCGCTTCCATATTCATCTTTCGTTATCTCACGCACACAGTACGCGTTGAGATCGATTTTTCATTATGAGCTTTTGTTTCATGGCAGAAATACATTCGGAGGGGGGTCGCACTTAGAAAATTTAACTTATTTTTATATCTAAATTAATTTTCTACGACCTTCCGAGAGGCAGTACTACTTGGGCACAGCGGCCGCCGACATAACTTGTTTTTATTCAATAGTTTACTTACCATGTGGAAAATTTTCTATTCTATCAAATCAACTGCCCTCGTACACAAAATCGGCAGGTTTTGTGATGATTAATAAGGAATGGTTGCTTTTCACAAATTGTTTTGTCGCTTAGAAAGTTTTAATTACAGAAAAAAAGTATTTTTCTTTTTCTACATATTAAGCCAACAAATTAAATTCCTAATTTTAGTTCATATGCTCTTAATATATTATTTCGATCTCCATTCTTTACGAACGATCGTTTTGATCTGTTCGTACCGAATGTTACCTATTGAATCGAATCGCGTTTCTTGGAGCAAACAACCAATAAATTTCAAAAATTATCAAGCAACAAGAGCATATACCCCCGGAAAGGTATGCCTGTCGTAAGAGGCCACTTAAATCCAATAGTTCCCGCGTCAGTCGGGTCTTTATACCGGAACGACACGGATTTTTATGCGGCCAAAAAATACTTTGGGAAATATTTTTGTGGTTACAACAACAAGAGTATATTGTAAAAATATCACCAAAACAAAAGAGAAATTAGTGATTGTCCATAAACCTGCTAGCCATATTTTACACCTCTCGGGACGCCTACCAACCTTTATGTAGTCTAAAATGGATATTCCTGAAATTATAAGGAATTATGTACGTAACTTTGCTCTCATCTCCTTTCTCCGGTTACGTGGCTAGCTATTATTTAAACTAACTGCTCCTACCTCTTGGCCAAGCTTACTTACTTATTACAAATGAAAATAATATTAATAATATTTAAACGTGGGGCATTGAGTTAGCCGCAAAAAAAGGAGTCCAATGGCTTTAATAACTTTATTTGACAGATTTCAGAGATTATATATACTATATACTTAATAATAATTGGCACTTTGGAATCGCTGAAACGATTTTCGGCCGACCTCCTCCTTCAATTTGTGGTTCTGCGTCTTTATGTATTTTCCAACAAATGGAGGACCTACAGTTCATACTAAGCCGCCTCCGAACGGGGTGGAGACTCCCTGCCGAGGGGCGACGGCGATTAGAAAATGTAACTTAATTTTCTATTTAATTTCAAGGATTGCATATATTAATTATTAAAAAGGAAATATAAATGACGTTAATGTGCATGCTGAGTTACAGACAATATAACCACTATTCCTGATCAATTTTCGATGAGAAATAATTAAATAGAAGTTTTTTGAAGTTACGTTTGCGCAACGCGTTCTTCAAGGACAATGAATGAGAGTTGCAGAGTTTTACGGCATTATTAAAAAGTAGTCTAGACGTCCATAAATAGTTATGTCTGGGAGAAATAAGAGCTAAGAAACTGTACTCTTTGAGAGTTTAAGTTTATTATACAGATTTTCACGGTTCTTACCGAAAAACGTACAAAAAATAGAAAAGCAATTTCGCGCGCTTAAGTAATTTTGCAAATCACGGCCAAGTAAAGAAAAGCGCAAAAATGAGGGATGATCGTGTTTCTTTAAACAAAATATACAGTGGCTCAGTAAAGTACTCGGACATACATTCCACTGTCATTAACATGCAACTTGATGCTAGATTTTTTTTAACCAATTAATATTAAGCATTTTTTTATGTTTCTATAGAATATCCAATAAGGTTTTAAAATACCGATAGCAAACAAATTAAATAGTTTGTAGGTCTCCCATATCCTTGGTAATATTACAGTTGCTTGGCAGTTTTTTGGAAAAAAAGTGTAAAGTTCAAACATGGGTAGACAGCGTTGACAAAGCTCAATTGAAATAAGGAAGTTAATTATTAGTCATTTTCAAATAGGGGAAAAACCATTCGGGAAACCGCAGAAATTGTGAGCAGACCCCGCTCGACTGTGCATGACGTGATTAAACGATTCAAACAAACAAAATCCGTGGAAAACAAAGAGAAGTCTGGACGACCGAAGTTGTTTTCGGCTGCAGATTAGCGGTTGATAGTGCAGCTAATAAAAAGAAATCCAAAAATGATCTCAAGATCTCAATAAAATTTTGCAACATCTCAATATAAATTGTAATCCGGAGAGTATCCGAATAGTCTTACGAAAAAATAATTATAATGGAAGAGTAGCATGGAAGAAACCATTTATAAACGAGGTTAACCGAAACAAAAGCATAAAATTTGCAAAATGTCATGGGGATAGGGATTTTCAATTCTGGAAAGAAGTTTTATTTGCAGATGAAAGCAAATTTAATATATTTAGGTCAGATGGACAGTCGTATGTTTGGAGAAAACCGACTGAAGAGTTGCTAGAAAAGAACTTCCGCCCGACTGTTAAACACGGCGGCCGGCTCAGTAATGGTATGGGGTTGTATGTCCGCAGCTGGTACTGGAAATTTGTGTTTCATAAATGGTAATATGGACTACAAGCAATATCTGACCAATTTAAAAGAAAATTTAGTGCAAAGTGCGGAAAAGTTGGGAATTAAAGACAATTTCCAGTACCACCAAGACAACGATCTCAAGCAAAAAGAAATTTATGTCCGTCTATGGTTGATGTGTAACTGTTCTAAAGTGCTTGAAACACCTCCTCAATCTCCTGCACATTAACGTAATTGAACATCTGAAGTAAGAAAGACATAGAGCTGCTATTTTGGAAGATTGGGGGAAAGTAAATTCTTTAACGTGCAAGAAGCTTGTTGAATCTTTGCCAAGAAGACTGAATGCTATCAGAAAAAGTAAAGGCTTACCGACCAAATATTAAGAATATTTTGTTTCTCTTAAAATAATATTTTTAAATTCTATGTTGTGTATATGTCTGAGTTTCTTTTTGTCATCAGTTTTGTTAATTTTTTATGTTCATATTATTTTTATACGACCGTGTTGAATTTATTTTATGATTTTGGTTGTTTTAAAAAATACACTTGAAGAATAGAAATATATGTTAAACAGAAAGCCCTCGATTTGCATTTTATTATATATTTTTTGTTTTAAGTCATATAACTTGTGTGTTCGAGTTCATTTTTGAGCCACTGTAAAAGTACCTTGTGGCAGAGTTAATGGTGTTGTTTATTTCATGCGGTGAATGTCTATCGAATTTACCGTAAACGATATCAAAGAAACATGAAGTTACTCTATGACATCGTAAAGAAAACAACATTTACTCATTAGCTTGATCATCACACGAAAGTCCGGAATTAATGACGAAACTCAATTTCTTGACTTTATTATCTATCCGCACACATCTTTGGTCACTCGCCAAAAACTGAGTGAGCTTGGCTGAGAACTTTTAATGCATCCACCATATAGCCCTGACCTTGCACCATCAGACTACCATTTATTTCGATCTTTGCAGAACTCCTTAAATGGTAAAACTTTCGGCAATGATGAGGCTATATAATCGCACTTGGTTCAGTTTTTTGCAGATAAAGGCCAGAAGTTCTATGAGCGTGGAATACTAAATTTGCCCGGAAGATGGCAAAAGGTTATCGAACAAAATGGCAATTATATATTTGATTAAAGTTCATTCTAAGTTTTATTAAAAATCCATTTACTTTCTTTAAAAAAATCCGCAATTACATTTTGGGCAACCCAATAATTTATGTCGATTGGTTCCCATAAATTGGGTTGGTAACTCGGAGGCTAAAATTGTATCCTTACTAACGGAGGCCATGTTGGCATATTGAATCGAAATCAAAATGAAAAATAAAGCTCTTGCTGAATATCATTCGATTACATACCAAAGAAACTGAGGAAACATTGCCTGCTAATATGGAAAACACCTCCAAGTTAATTTTTGCATTTCAAATAGAATATTTTAAAATCTCAGCGGCATATTGATTTAACCCTTTCCGGATGGAGTTATATTTAAAATTCCAAAATAATTGGTGCCAAAAAAATGTTATCAAAATACTGAAATCATTGTGGCTGATTTGCCATTAACTTTTTGGTCTCGAAAAAACGTATTTTCCACTAAAGATCCAAAAATTTTTTAGGGGCAGTTTTCAAATTTTATGTTTATTATAAAAAAATGCATATATAAGTTAGCGAAATCCATCTGAATTTATTGCCGACTTTTTACCCAACTTTGAATTTTGGATCGAAATCTTAAAGCATCGTCTTTTAGTCGGAAGAAGATTGTTTTGTTGTAATCAGTGATATTTCTAGTACAGCGTCTACATTTTGTTTACTTTCCAAAAGCTGAAATTTGATTGAAATTAAAGACCCAAACAGAAGGAATTGATATCGTTTCGAAGATTAATTTTTAGACACATTTACTATATTTCTCACTGGGAAATCGCTAACAGTGTGTACTTTAAAACTTATAGCCGAACTAGCCATTTTACATACCTCCCAACCATACCACCGGATTGGAAGGTGAATATGCATACACATATGTTATCGACGTTGCTTGCAGCGGTGAAATCTTTTCGCCAAAAAATTTCATAATTAAAATATTCGAATATAAGCACCAATCAAATATACGAGTACATGATCCTTATATATATATATGGTAATAACAAATTAATTACGAAATCAGTTCTCATTTATTTTGAGAAAATGCACATTTTCTTGATTCACCTAAAATTCCTTAAAAAAGTTAAAAGCTTAATATTGGCAACTTTGTGTAAGAGAGAGCAATCACCTGAGTATGTTTTACCGAAAAATCAAATCGTCGCTGATTTCTACGAGACAAGCGGTGATAACTTTCCATTTGCTTGGCGCTCTTTTACGATTGGTTGTTACAGCTGAGTTGCAATGTTTTGTTTGTTATCAAATTTTAGGAGCAATATACATACATGCTGATTTTTACCGTTATTTTTTTGTTTGCAATTTGAAACAGACAAAGAGAGTTGTGCTGGGAGTAATTTATATTGGCGATCGTTTTAAGGAATGTGTTAAAAATGCCGAAGTTCGAAAATTACTGAGACATACTGGATTTTTATACGTCCAATCAGTCAATCTAGCGGTGAGAAGTGTTACTAAGAATTAGCCAGCAACGAAATGTCAAAATTAAGCTTTCTCGTTTTGAATTTTACTGGCTTTTTGTCTCAACCAACGATTCGGTAGCAATTGTTAGCGTCGCACCGAACAGGACTAATGGCACTGTTGAATTACAATAATTTTTATATGCAAATATGCCAAAGAAGTGCTAATTTTATTAAATTGATTATCAAAATACGTCTAACAGGCCTATTCTCACTGTTACCAGTAAAGTAAATTTTGTTCCTTTTTTTAACACCCGAAATTGAATTTGGTATTCTGGCGAACTGGTGACAATGTTTGACGGTACACAAAAGAATTAAAAAGTTTTATTAATTTGTTTGTTAAATCATAAATATTTTAACCTAATTATGGAAAATATGCCCAAATAACAAAATAAGCTGAATGAAAACGATATCTTACAAATTATGGGGCTATTTTATGTATCAAATACTTCTTAAAATACGGCTTTTTGCACTTTTTTCTTCGTCTTCAATGAATTCCAGACCTAAAATATGCCTACCAGTTTTGGTTTTTTAATTTTCCTGAAACTAACAACACAAAATCAAACAGCAGATATTTTAGTTACCTCCTGTTTCGCTGGTAACAAAATTTACAGGGTGACAGTGAGCTCAGAATACGAAATGGTAACAAAATTTACTGAACGGTAAATTTTAATACCAAAGTTAATTTTATTACCTCGACAGAATAGGACTGTAAGTTGAAAACAACTGACTGTTTAAAGAAACTGAAGCTGCTGTAGAACTTGCTGTCTAATCTATCTCTCGCTCTCTGAGTTTCGTTACTGATTAATTCTTACTGGCTCTTCGAAACGATCACATTTAATCAAATACCTTTTTGGCTTTAGAACACGATACCAAATGTTTGTTGCTGATTAGCTTCCGCGAATTCGAATGAATAATTTCTTTATATGTCAAATGTCATCAAAAAGTAAATGCGTTAAATAAAAGAAAATAAAGGGTGGAAAAAAGTGTAGAAAACGGTTATTTGAATAGTGCTACCAATATTGAAGTACTGTAAATGTGAGAATGTAATCTCGAAAATATAATTAACTTTAATAAACTTAAAAAACCAATTTTAAAAATTTGTTGCATTAAATTTCACCTCATTTAATTATATCAGTATTTTCGTATTTTCATCAATATATGGATTTTAGCACACCAAAAGAGTCTACACAAAACCCCAATTTCTTATCTTTTCTTATCTCTCTTTGATAGCGATAAAACATTTTGTGCCATACTCGGCGTTCAGTGTAGCATAAACAGTCAATTGTCTACATTCATGACGTTCACTTACAGTAGCCGTGGAAAGCATGTTCTCAAGTAAATCAAAAAAGGAACAGCCTAACCCAAAGGGTCTGAGCAGTGCATTAGTGCCTCAGGATCCGCGCATGAAAGTACGCACCGCTAGTGCGCAATCGGAGACAACAAATACGACGGAACAAAGTGAGACCATCTACGATAATGATAGAAATAAGGTAATACAACAAACAGTGCGACAAACGGTGACACATCAGAAAACTGCTCGCGTCATTGAAACTTCGATACGACGAACACCGACAAAGGAAGATTGGGATGAACTACTCAGTGCGGCTGGTGTAAATGCATTTTCTTTCACAAGTGCAACGCCATTGACTAAAATGGAAACTACTGTTACGCAAAAAAATGGACGCACACAGACATCGTTCGTACAACAACAAGCAGCGAAATTCCATCAAACGTGCGCAGCGGGAAAGCCAAATACAACTACGACGTCCGGTGCGGGACAAGGGGCAAAGAAGAACTCCAGCACCAGTGGTAAACCAAAAACAACTGTCAGCGTTTACACTGACCAGTATACAGTCATGCCGTCGCCATTGACTTTAAGGTCGCCTGCAATTTCAACAACTATTAGCAAAGTAAACAGCAGTGCAGTGAGCCCGGCAAGAACTGTCGTTACCTACAATTCACCCCTAAGTAAACCAAGTAACCAAATAAGTGGCGGAATAAAACTTAGTACGACCAATGTCATTCCGAGTGCAAGACCAACAACAACGCCCACTTTCCAACTAGGTAAAACTGAGAAAACCACTCCGACTGCTACCACAAATTATCAATATGTTTCGCCCTATCGAAATGGCGCTCGTGGTCCATTGGCCAACAGCTCCTATTTGACATATGGAAAATCCCAATTTAGTCTTCCAACTGCGTATGCAAAGCATGGTGTGACCGATGCGAATCCGCTGGCAGGATCACCGAAGCCATTGTCGTACAGCATCCGCTCTACACCATTATCCACTCCACACGCTACAACTCAGCCATTGCCTACGACTCAAATAACACAAAGTTTAAGTGTGGCCGGTCAGAAGTCGAAGTTAAAACCTGGTATTGCTTATATATTTAATACGGTTGACTTTGCTGATAAAGAACGATTTGAGAAACGTGATGGCAGCGATTACGATGCGAACATTGTGCGGGAGGCGTTCGAGAAGTACAAATTAAAAGTGGATACTATCAAGAATCCGACTGTGAAGAAGATCAAAGATACTGTGAAGTCAAGTAAGTTTTACATGCATACACATACACGTATGTAGACATATGTACATATAGGTCTACAAAACAGCGACATTGATAGAATATAACGTGGTGTTCTGTAATCCGATCGGAATTGAGAAATTAAGAAAATTCAGACAACCCTGAACGTCAACGACGAACTAACTGCGGCAAATTTACAGTGTGAGAAATGTGGCACTTATATTTAAAGATATATGTATGCAATACATATGAGTACTTCTTCTTCTTCCTCTTTATGGGCGTTAACGCCACTTAAGTGGTTATAGCCAAATCAATATTACCGCGCATCCCGAATGCATCCCTTCTTTTCGCTGTTTAGCGTCAGTTCGAAATACCAAGTGCAACCAGATCCTTCCCATGTAGTGGACGTCTTCCTTTTCCTATGCTTCCACCGACGGGTACTGCATCGAACACTGCTGGAGTGCTTTCATCCATTCGGACGACATGACATGAACATGAAGCCAGTCAATATCATCGTATAGCTCGTACAGCTCATCTTTCTATCGTCTGTAATACTCGCCGTTGCCAATGCGCAAAGGATCATAAATCGTTTGCAAAACTTTTCTCTCGAAGAATCCTAGAGCTGACTCATAAGATGTTGGCATAGTTTACGCTACTGCGCTATATAGTAGGACGGCTATGATGAGCCATGTTTGATGTTAGCAGATATTTCGTCTTGTAATCATTCACTTCCAGTCCCATTCTCTACGCTTCTTTATTAAACCTGGAGAAAGCAGAACTCACGCCACGGCTGTTGAGGCCGATAATGTCAATATGATCGGCGTACGCCAGTAGTTGTACACTCTTATTGAGGATTGTACCTTCCCTATTCAGCTCTGAAGCTCGTATTATTTTCCCTAGCAATAAGTCAAAAAATTCACACGCTAAAGAGTGATCCTCCAAAGCCTCGTTTGGTATCGAACGGCACGGAGAGGTCTTTCCAAATTCTTACTGCGCTACTAACAACACCAGTAGTGTGTAACACCAGTCAGCTGTGTAAGCCGTATAATTGTTGCGAGGATACCACATTCAGAAATAGCGGCGTATAATCAACTTCTTTTCGTGCAATCGAAGGCTGCTTTAAAATCGACGAAAAAGTGGTGCGTTTCGATCCTCTATTGATGGGTCTTTCCCAAGATTTGGCGCATGGTGAGTTTCTGTTCAATGGTTGACTTACAAGGTCTAAAGCCAAACTCATATGGTCCAATCAGTTTGTCGACGGCTTTAGTCTTATACACAATACGTATTGATGATTGATAGAATCTGATGTGAGACGTTAGGATTAGCTTGGCCGGTAATCTATCGTTCTCCGCCGCTTTGTTGTTTTTTAAGCGGGTGATTGGTATTCGGACTTCTTCACAGTCGGGTAAGGGAACAATTTTTCCATCGTCATCAAGTGGAGTTTCGGGTTCACTTCCATTTAGCACGCTGGAGAAGTGTTTCCTCCATAGATCGAGTATACTCTGGGCATCCGGCACTAATCACCGCTCTGGGTCCTACTAGAGTTTTCTCTGGTCTTGGGCTCCAAGCTTGGGCCTTACCCTTGCCGGCCAGCTTCTCAAGCTCTTCATACTCACACATTTACGCAGTCTGTTTTCTCTTCATGCAGTTCGATATTCCTTATCGAACCAGTTCATTTTCGGATACTGCCGAAAACCAATTGTTTCTGTAGCGGCGATATTTAGGAGTTTGACATGCCGGTGCACAGTTCCCTTATATCAAGTTGCTAATGAGGACTCTCTGAAAGCAGGAGTGCAAGCCGAGTAGAAAATCGTTGGACTGTTTTTGGTGATTGCATCTTTTCGACATCGAACCTTCCTCGTGTTTATTGACGGGTGTTCTTTTATGCACAGAGGCGCGAACAAGATACCGAATTGATTTCGAGACCCCGGATACATATCTGCTGTCTATCACAAAATGGTTGATCTGGTTGAGAGCGTTTCGTCATGGAGGCTGAATTTTCCGATAGTTGAAGATATTTTCTTTTTCCACCCAGGCTTTGAAGTTGCCAAATACATCGTGGCGGGGCAGTGCTCATAAGTATGCTAGAGACGCTCATAAAAGGCATCCCTGGTCACATGGTCCTTCTTTACCATGAAGGTGTCGGCGCAAATCAGGATCGGATTCGAACATAGATTCCGATAAAATAAATCCGATAGAATATGAGAACATTAGTATCAGATCAGATTCAGTTCCAATTTGACTAGATAAAGACCATAAAATGGAGATCTTCCTAACTCTGTAACAGCATACAAAGCGTACTAATTGATATATAACCAAGTGTCAGATTCTGTGTTAAAAATTTCTATTTAGTTTTAAAATATTCAAAAATTTTAATATTCCTGCAAAGCTTTTTAACCAGTTTTTTACTTTAAGTTACGAAAGGTTTTTACTCTTCCTCTTTGAGGCTACTTATTTTAACCCCTCAGCGCCAATTGAATATACCAAGTAGAGACACCGGAGTGAAGGTCTTTCTTTTCCACTTACCGGTACTGCATCGAGTAGGAAATTCTCCCTTTTGAAAACCGCCAAAGCGACTAATTGAGTTCAGTCTTTGTTCCTCGAGAGAGGACTATACTTTTCAACTGTCTATTCAGTACAAAGTAGCATCTGTCGGCAAAAATGATTCTGCTTTGGATTGCCCGGCTGATATTGATTTTGGTCTTGATACTGGTCCCTAAATGGCCAAAATGGTCTACAACTTCAAAGTTAGGTTAGTCCAACGCATCGCTACTCACTGACCACACCTAATTTATTTTACTATCTTACATAATTTGAAAAAAAAAAACCGTTACCTTTTACAATTCTATTAATTTTTACAGTGACTAAGAAAGATTATAGCAATTATTCTTGCCTAATAATTGTTATACTCAGCCATGGCACGTTCAATGACTCGGTCGCGGCCAGCGATGCAGAATATAATATTAACGAAACGATACTTTATCCAATTCTTGATATACCAAGCTTGAAAGAGAAGCCGAAAATTTTCATAATACAAGCGTGTAAAGGTGGAATGGTGCCAGGTGAATACAAAACCGACGCTTCTACGGTGCGTGGATCTCCCAGTGAAATACTCAAATGCTATAGTACTTATGAGGGTATGTAGAATGGTGACTTTCTTTCAATACGCCTAAATATTTATTAAATCAAATAAATTGTATATTTTGTTGACATCTTTTAGGTTATGTCGCATATCGCACGAGTAAGGGCAGTCCATTTGTCCAAGCCTTATGCAACGAAATAAAGCTGAAAGGACAAAATACCGATATAGAGCGGCTTATGAAGAGCGCTATAGAGACAGTGAAAAATGAAACGCGGTAGGTACATCTAAGTAAAACAAAAAAAAAAAAAACGTTGTATGATATTGGTTCATATTGTATTAAAATTTCTTTGCATATATACATTCATACATACCATGTTACATAAAATGTATCTGCATTTTTGTTGAGGGTTGGAGGTTGAGGACCCAAGCCATAGAGTAGGCCAATTGTGCTACGTTATGTTACTTCCTCTTCCAACGCGGCCGCGGTAGCCGAGTGGCGTACTGCCAAAATTAAGCTAAATATTCTAGTTGCAAAAAATACCCTTCTCACATGAAATAAAGCTCCTCATAAATAAAAACCATAAGCCATTCGGAGGCTTAGCATAAACTGTGGCTCCCACCATTTGTTGGAAAAACATCAAGACGCAAAATCAAAAATTAGAATAGAAGCTCGGCCAAAAATCACTTCAGCGGTTACAAAGCGCCAATATATATATATAAATATATATATATATGTACATATATGAGATCTAGATGGACATTGCGGTCCAATTTGGGTAGATAGGAGATTATTCGGCTGAAATATACATAGTTAACGCCAAGGAGTGGCTTAGAAAGGGTATAACACTGTTCAACAATGAAAAATTTATGGTAGTAGCCATGACAACTGAAATATTCTAACTTGTCTTCTGCTCTGAACGACCTCGATTGAAGAAGCAAAAAATCTAAATCTTCTGATGATTCAAATAACTGTGAATAATCAAGTGGAGACTCTGATTAAGGTTACAAGCTCAGAAAAATCGAAAGCAGGTATTTTTCTATGGGCCACCGATTAGGGGATCCTTATTTTGAAAATCAATTACTGAAGTCGGATCCAAAGTTTGTAATTCGTTTGCTTAGGCAGAAAGATATCTAATAACTACGTCAAGCATGTTTAACGTGAGCTAGCGAACATTCAAAAGCTGGGTCTCAATATGAGCACAAGAATCCGCTTTCTGCACTCGCATTTAGACCGACTACCACAAAATCTGGGTGATTTTTAGTTAGGATTAAGGTAAAGGATATCACCAAAATCTTCAAATAATGGAAGAGCGTTTTGAGGCGCATTGTATAAATTTTCCATATTTTTTTATTGAAGTAATATAAATGTATATATCCGAAAGTGCAGTTTATTGATTTCTAAATATTTTTTTCATAGTTTAAGCCGCTGAAATACCCAATAATAAAGGAAACAAGGCTTCTGTTGACCAGTGTAATCAAAGCAAGCTCACTCGCTCTCTATGACTTCGATTTGTAGTTAAGCGATATATCGATTCTTTACTCAAAATATTAGCGTTTTTTTTTTGGTGTTTGTTGTCTGTCCGTTTCTCAACATTTTGCCCTCCACTCGGGTTAATGGGCAGCATTTTCAGAGAGCTTAACTTGGAGAAATCAATTTACGCTACATCCACTGGGTTGTGAACACGTAAACTAAGTATCTTCCCTGCAGGGAGACGATATGTAGACTTGTATGCAAAAAATTCTCTAGTTAAATACTGGTATTTTGAAGATGAAACCATACCAGTTGGTTAGTTGTATAACAGTCCATTAGTAAGGAGAGAAATAATAATTTCCATCACCGTTTGGTGATCGCAGTTCGGTTTTAGCAACAGGCAAACTCGTTTTTACTTTTATTTTATTTTATTCATTTTTTTTTTGTTCTGTGTTTGTAGAAATTCAACATGCCTAAATTAAAAAGTATACATTTAGTATAAATCTGATGTATAGTCTGATGTATAGTTGCTTACATGGGAAGTCGATGGAAGATGAGCTAGTTAGTGTAAAACTACATACCAGTTGGGTTCTACTTAATAAGTAGTATTTTTCCCTGCTTCATTATTGGTCAAACTGAGTGCGGGCACTTATTATTAAAAGTGGGCTGTTTATGTTAGTGTACACCTCCCAAAGAAATTTTAGTAATTAATAAGGATATACAAGTCTTTAAAGACATTTTTGGTTTTTGCTAAACCATTTTTCTGCCAATTCAGAATAAAAGGGTGCGTCAGAGCGTTCTCTGCAAAATAGACGGATATTTGAATTTGGTGAAAAGATTCTGAGTCCTGCCGTGTGTTGTACTTTTTAAATCGCTAAAAAATTTCAAGTTAAATATAATTAGTCCTCTGGTTTATAGTTCTACTCAATTTTTATTGGCTTTTTTTTAACGATCTCGCTTAAATAGAATTTTCATTTTTGGCTATGCTTTTGAGCTGCCAACTTCATTATTAAGAATAACTACTTTCTTATTATAACACGGCATATAATCTTTGCACATATACACGGTGTGTCCCAAAAATTACCGAACTGTTTGGATATAAAATAAAGTACACATTATATTATCTTTGAAAGTTATTATTTAATCAAAATAGGTTCCATTTGACTCAACACCACGTTTGGAACAATCAACCAGCGGATGCATAGATTTTTTTATGTCATTTATAGAAATGTTCTTCAGTACCTCGGTTACGGCTGCTTGAATGGCTGGGATATCATCATAAAATGTTCCTTTCAGGCGAATACGGAGGATGGTCGATGAGAGAAATCACTTTTTTCATTAAAAATTCGTTCGCTTTTTTGGTCGTCATTTAATTCATGTGGAACAAATCGAGCGACAGATCTTCTTTTCCCCAAATCTTCAGTTAAAATTCTCCAAATAGTATTTTTACTCGTATTCAATTCCTCAGCCAACATTCTCTTAGTAAAATTTGTATTGATACCAATGATTTCACGGACTTTTTCCACCAGTTCAGCACGATTACTAGTTTTTGGACGTCCTGCTCTAGGGTCGTCATTCAAATCCTCACGACCATTTTTAAATCGTGTAAACCACGAATAAACTTGCGTACGGCTCATACAATCATCACAATAAATAATAAACTTAAAAAACCAATTTTAAAAATTTGTTGCATTAAATTTCACCTCATTTAATTATATCAGTATTTTCGTATTTTCATCAATATATGGATTTTAGCACACCAAAAGAGTCTACACAAAACCCCAATTTCTTATCTTTTCTTATCTCTCTTTGATAGCGATAAAACATTTTGTGCCATACTCGGCGTTCAGTGTAGCATAAACAGTCAATTGTCTACATTCATGACGTTCACTTACAGTAGCCGTGGAAAGCATGTTCTCAAGTAAATCAAAAAAGGAACAGCCTAACCCAAAGGGTCTGAGCAGTGCATTAGTGCCTCAGGATCCGCGCATGAAAGTACGCACCGCTAGTGCGCAATCGGAGACAACAAATACGACGGAACAAAGTGAGACCATCTACGATAATGATAGAAATAAGGTAATACAACAAACAGTGCGACAAACGGTGACACATCAGAAAACTGCTCGCGTCATTGAAACTTCGATACGACGAACACCGACAAAGGAAGATTGGGATGAACTACTCAGTGCGGCTGGTGTAAATGCATTTTCTTTCACAAGTGCAACGCCATTGACTAAAATGGAAACTACTGTTACGCAAAAAAATGGACGCACACAGACATCGTTCGTACAACAACAAGCAGCGAAATTCCATCAAACGTGCGCAGCGGGAAAGCCAAATACAACTACGACGTCCGGTGCGGGACAAGGGGCAAAGAAGAACTCCAGCACCAGTGGTAAACCAAAAACAACTGTCAGCGTTTACACTGACCAGTATACAGTCATGCCGTCGCCATTGACTTTAAGGTCGCCTGCAATTTCAACAACTATTAGCAAAGTAAACAGCAGTGCAGTGAGCCCGGCAAGAACTGTCGTTACCTACAATTCACCCCTAAGTAAACCAAGTAACCAAATAAGTGGCGGAATAAAACTTAGTACGACCAATGTCATTCCGAGTGCAAGACCAACAACAACGCCCACTTTCCAACTAGGTAAAACTGAGAAAACCACTCCGACTGCTACCACAAATTATCAATATGTTTCGCCCTATCGAAATGGCGCTCGTGGTCCATTGGCCAACAGCTCCTATTTGACATATGGAAAATCCCAATTTAGTCTTCCAACTGCGTATGCAAAGCATGGTGTGACCGATGCGAATCCGCTGGCAGGATCACCGAAGCCATTGTCGTACAGCATCCGCTCTACACCATTATCCACTCCACACGCTACAACTCAGCCATTGCCTACGACTCAAATAACACAAAGTTTAAGTGTGGCCGGTCAGAAGTCGAAGTTAAAACCTGGTATTGCTTATATATTTAATACGGTTGACTTTGCTGATAAAGAACGATTTGAGAAACGTGATGGCAGCGATTACGATGCGAACATTGTGCGGGAGGCGTTCGAGAAGTACAAATTAAAAGTGGATACTATCAAGAATCCGACTGTGAAGAAGATCAAAGATACTGTGAAGTCAAGTAAGTTTTACATGCATACACATACACGTATGTAGACATATGTACATATAGGTCTACAAAACAGCGACATTGATAGAATATAACGTGGTGTTCTGTAATCCGATCGGAATTGAGAAATTAAGAAAATTCAGACAACCCTGAACGTCAACGACGAACTAACTGCGGCAAATTTACAGTGTGAGAAATGTGGCACTTATATTTAAAGATATATGTATGCAATACATATGAGTACTTCTTCTTCTTCCTCTTTATGGGCGTTAACGCCACTTAAGTGGTTATAGCCAAATCAATATTACCGCGCATCCCGAATGCATCCCTTCTTTTCGCTGTTTAGCGTCAGTTCGAAATACCAAGTGCAACCAGATCCTTCCCATGTAGTGGACGTCTTCCTTTTCCTATGCTTCCACCGACGGGTACTGCATCGAACACTGCTGNATGTATCTTTTAATGTTGCAAATTTTCAATAGATGGCGCAGTAAGTTGTATGATGTAAATATAAAGTTCGGTTATTTTTAGGACACACCGTGTATATAGCGTGTTTTAAACCCAATGCAAAAATTAAATTTACCGTCATATATGTAGTAAAGTGTTGACAAGCACGTTACACGATAGAACAACGTGCCTTAAACATTAAGCAATATTTCAAAAATAATTACAGCTTAGAATAGTGTTTTAACTTCGTCAGCTGTGAATAGATTAATTAAAAAATTCCGGGAGACAGTATCCGTTGGGAACGCCAAACACAGTAGCCGTCCGAAAACAAGAAGTTCGAGTGACAAAATCGAAGCAGTGCGTGGTTACAATCCAATAAACTCAAAATGAGTCCCTAGATAAGACTCGCAAATTTCGAGATGCTCTCTACAGCGTATGCTTACAAAATTCAATTATCACAGCAACTGAAGCCTAATGACCGTGTACAACGTAGAGAGTTTGTTGATTGTATTATTGAGCATCAACAAATGAACGCTGATATTTTTTTGCAAAAATTGGTTGATATTGATGTTGACAATTAGGGGATTCAAAGGGACAGCGCCACATGTTATGCAGCATGTAAAACACTTTGATAACTACAGGCCGTGCACTCTCTCGTTTTGATGATCAGAATTTATTGCCTAGATCGTCTGATGCAACACCATTATACTTCTTTTATGAGATTATTTATAATCACAGGTCTATTGCGACAAATTACAAACAAAATCAAGGCCATTTGACCGATGTGTTATTCCTTAACTAACACTATTATATGCACTTTGTAACTTAATAGAAAAATTACAATCGAAAGACTAAAAACTTTGTTTCCTATTTAATTCCAATATTACGTTAACTTTCAATACCATTTACATAGATACATACATACATATTTAAAAATTTTATGATTTGATAGTTCAAAAATATATGTCTTTCGTTTTAATTATCACATTTTCCCACATATCAAGGCGAATTCAAAAAGGTGGAAGCTGGAGAGCAAGTGCAACAATTAAATACGACAATGACGAGATCACAATTCTCGCGATTTTCACTTTTACAAAAAAAAATCATTAATTGAAATTCATGAACTAAAAATAAATTTGCCAATCTTCACGTTCACCTTCATCTTTTTAATTCGCATTTGAGATATACATTTCAATAAATTAAAAATTCCATTACGTAATTTTTTGGAGCTGGCTAATATATATAAATATACTTGGCGCTTTGTAACCGCTGAAGCGATTTTCGGCCGAGCTCCTCCTCCAATTTGTTGTTTTTGTGTCTTGATGTTTTTCAAACAGATGAAGAGACTTACAGTTTATACTAAGCCGCTGATTGTTTTTGAAGAGGAGCTTTATTTCATGTCAGAAATACACTTAGAAGAAAATTCGAGCTTAATTTTTTTTTAAATTAATTTTCTGTGCGACACCAGGATTTGAACCCGGGCATATCGACTGGCAGTACGCAATGCTAACCACTCGCCTATCGCGACCACCACTTATGAAAACTAGAAAAAACTAGAAAAGTCTAACCCAGTTTGTGTTCTTAATATTAATTAGAAGAGAGTCCACACAATTGATTTTTGAACCACCCTGACGATCATATTATTTAAGATACATATAAATAAATACATACATTCATGAGTCATATAGTACATTACATCTTTTTCTCTTTTCCTTAACAGTTCGAAACAAATTCCATGTATGACTACTAACCTCACAAAGCCATTTGTTTTTGGAAACTATGTGTAATTTTTATAGTGTCTTAAATTATGCATATATAATGAATTCTAATATAAATATTTATTACATATTCTTTGTAAGCATTTCTGTAAAAATGTCAAGTTTAATAAATTACAATATTATCAATTAATGAAAAATAAAAATATTTTTTCAGGTTTTTAATTTGTTATTTCATTGCGGGATGTGATCAGACTATTTGCATTATGCGTTTATTAAATTTTAGTTCATGGATAAATAAGTAAATCACATTCATTCTTCTTCTTCTTATCTGGCGTAGGAGTCGCCTACGCGATTATAGCCAAGTTTACATTGCGCACCAGTCATTTCTCTCTTTTTTTTCTGCTCGAAACCAAATACCGATGCACAGAGTGAAAGCAGCTCCGTCTCCTCCGGTTTCTTTCACTGGAGGTCACCAATTCTTTCTCTACTTCCTTCAGCTCGGGCTGCTTTCGCAACTTTGTGTATCCGGAAAACATAACCAAATCAGCGAAGTTATCTCCTAATTCTAGGAAATTCGTTAATTGCGTCGTATATCTGGTTTGTATTTCGTCGTTATACAGATCATCATGTCGAAGACTCATACCGACCCATCGGCAGTTATCAGCGTCTACGGTTCCGCACCATAAAGTAGAATGGGAATGATGGGTGCCTTGTAGAGTTTGACCTTTGTTTGCTGAGTAGGTTTTATTATTTTTAATAATCTACTCAGTAATAAGTAGCGTTGAATTTTTAGCTTGACATTTCTATTAGTGTTAATGGTGGTTGATGGATAGACGAAATTGTCCACAACAACAAAATAATGAGTGCCCACAGTGACGTTGAGTAAAAGATGTGGTAGCGTTTGACCATCAGATATACATATTTCGACTGGTATTTGTTCACTACCAGACCCATTCGCCTCGCTACCTTATCCAGCTTGCAGTTAGCTAAACTTACGGCGCGGTTATGGAAACCAATGATATGAATATCATCGGTACATGCCAGTTGTACGCTCTTACAGACGATTGCACTTCTCTATGCAGCTCTACAAATCTTATTTTCTGCAGCATTAGGTTGAGTAAGTTACACGAAAGAGAGTTAACTGAAGCAGTGCTAGTAGATTTGCCAGATTTGAAATCGCACTCTTAAAGATCAGTCAGTTCGTTGACGGTGGCATACATTCTCTCACATAATACAGTCGTTAAGACCTAATTTTCGATATTGAGGAGGTTTATCCCATTGTAATTGCCGCAGACGAGCATTCCCTCTTTTTTATGGATCGGTCAGAATACACTGAGGTTCTAATCTTTGGTCATGCTTTCATTCAACCATATTCTGTAAAGCAGCTAATGCATGCAGCTTATCAGTTCTGCGCCGGCTTTATTAAAACAAAAAATACCTTTTTTACCACATTCAATATTAATGAATATTAAAACAAATATAAACACGTCAACGTATTATATTTAATATAATACAAGGCGGTCATGTTACTGGTAGTGTGAAGGATTGACTGTCGAACATTGGAATAATTCTTGGTCCACCTACTAAACCAGAGGGGAAATGAGGTACGGAGTTCTCAATAGCGCAGTACAGCCATGACAGGAGGTTTAGTATTGTGCTGGTGCTTAGCACTTTACGGAAGCCATGGTGAGGTGCTGATACAGGGAACGAGCAGCGAGGCTTCAAGTGCGGGATCGTTCAATCTTCGGTGAGCTTACAACAATTTATGTGCAAGAGTAAGTATTGCTTTTAATCCATATATAATATCATATTTATAAAATAGCAAATTTTTAGTATAAATATATAATTAAAAAATTAAGTTATATTTGTACATACGAGGTGTGTCATCTCGTCAATCGTAGCGTAACGTCGTCCTTTCATAGGACTCTTCAGTTTAGGGAACAAGAAAAAGTCACAGAGGGCCAGATCTGGGGAATAAGGTGGCTGCGGCATCATTAGTGTGTTGTTTTTGGCCAAAAAGTCGCGCACAAGCAACGATGTGTGAGCAGGGACGTTATCGTGGTGCAAAAGTCAATTTTTGTTCTTCCACAAATCCGGGCGTTTCTGGCGGATTGCTTCGGGCGAATTGCTCATTACTTGTGTGTAATATTTCTTATTGACCGTTCTACCCTGTGGCAAGAACTCATGATGAGTCACGCCCTTGCAATTAATTTTTTTGTCTGTTGTTGAAGTGCTCGGGCGTCCGGCACGCTCGTCGTTCACATCTTCTCGGCCTTCCGAGAACATTTTGTACCACCGATAAACGTTGCTTCGGTCCAAGGTAGCTTCTCCGTATGCCACAGTCAACATTCGGAATACGCACATAATTTCGTTTTTCACACAAAATACAGGTTCTTTGATCCAGTTTTTTGAATAGGTAAAAATCGAAGACCATCCAAAACACGTGCAAGCAAAGCAGCTGTCAACAATTCAGAACATTCAAAATGGTCAAGCTTGTCGGCATAAGTGACAAACATGAGTACCAACATAACGCTACAAAAAATTCGAAATTCGATTATACGTAACCCGCGAAAATTCCAAATTCGCGTTATTTTTTGAACAGACCTCGTATGTATGTTTATTTTGGCGCTTTTTAACCGCTGAAATGTTTTCGGCTGAGCTGTTCCTCTAATTTGTGCTGTGCGTCTTGATGTATTTTTTACAACAAATGGATGGACCTACAATTTTTTCTAAGCCGCCTGCGAACGGCCGATAGATTTTTTGAGGAACCTATATTTAATGTTAGAAATACACTTGGAGAAGTTGGAATTTCTACCATACAGGATTTTGGCTGAACCAGCATTCGAACCCCAGGCTTCCGAAGCGCGGTACGAAAGACCAGCCACTCTGCTATTGCGGTCGGCGAGATGTACGGCGATATTTAAATCTCAGCGTACGGTTGGATAAAAGCAGCCAGCTTTGAAAATATTCAATGCAGTAACCGCTGGCGGAGATGTCCCCAATTGACGCCGAACAGCTATAGCTACTTGGGCATTATTGTTGATTCGGCTATAACCTCGTAAGCGGTGACTACGTCAACTAAGATGAAAAAGTTGTATTGATTAGAAAGGCAAATTAAATTCGTTCCTAAGACGGCTACAATATACTTGTATAAAAAAATTCCATATTCCTTTTAAAGAAAAAAATTATAACTACCAAGGAATGATAAACAATTCAGATAAGTAATTACGTGACTTTCAAATACACAGTTAAATTGGTTTATTTAAATGACCAAATAATTTCTGTAACCGATCTCCAGAAGAACCTCCAAAATGGCGGCTTCAAAAAAACAGTTCAAAGTGGCTTAAAAAATCGAACTTCTTCTCAAAAATTGTATTCCTTCGATCATTACCTAATAAATATCTCTTAGAAGATCGACGAGCTAAGTAACCATGCCCTACTATTCCTTTACATGTCTGTCTACCTGTCCGTCTTTCTGCCTGTCTGTCCGCCTGTTTGAACGCAGAAATGTACCTCAGTTTCCGTGATATTTTAACCAAACTTAGTACGATCAGAGAGGATTACTACTTGTACAATATATAGCTCCAAATAATCGATTGTTTTAGATGTGAGATTTCTGGTCATGGATTCGTCAAAAAAGCAACTAAGATCATAAACGTTAAATCGGAATGCCCGAGGACAGCTATTTTTATTTGAAAGCGCAGTGCACGCTTTAGATAACTTTTTTTATTATAAAAAGCAATATTATGTATCACACGCCCGTGTTCCAATCCCGGTACCGCCAACATCCAAAAGTTAAGGAAAATTAATTTAAATACATTATTAAGTTAAATTTTCTGGTTGCAGTCGCCCCTTGGCAGGGAATGTCAACCCCTCCGAGTGTATTTTTGTCATAAAATAAAGTATTCTCATAAAAAACCATCAGCCCATTGGCTTAAGGTAAAGTGCAGGTCTGTCCATTTGTTGGAAACACATCAAGACGCAAAACCGCAAATTGGAGGAGGGGCTCGGCTGAATATCGCTTCAGTGGTTACAAAGCGCCAATTAAGCATATATATATTATATATATTGTCTAATCATAATTTTATTACTACCTCATTGCAATGATAACTTCTTTTTCAGTTTTGTCATATGTATATATGTACGTATGTATTTTTAAATGAATTGTTGGATTTATAACAGTTATTTCTTCTCCCAGTCATCAATACTTCAGCAGGACTTGTTGACGGTGCAGTAATGTCATTATTGTAATGAATACATAATAAAAGTACATATATAAAAATGTATTAGTAAGTAAATACTTGAGGGACTCAACCAGTATGAGCTTCGATAAATAATTCCTTCGAAAAAAACATACTTCGACCCCAGTTACGTCACTGAATCTTTTTTTAACATATTCAGCATTATTTCAGGCATAAAGTGACCCTCGGATATTTTGATTGGAATAAAATTGAAAATTTGGCATGGAAAATAGGGTCAGATTTTTAAGCTAAATTTTAACATTTTTTCAAGACGTCGCTGTATTTTTAGATTTGTTTTTTTACATCAATCATTAGTCACTTCATAGTTCATTACATCCTCTTTAACACTTTTATAAGTTCAAGTATCCTGAAGGCAGATGGGATGACAGTAAAATGGAAACTTAGTTTTTCGGACCTCCGAGGGATAGCATATACGAGTACCATATTCCTAGAAAAATATACCCTTAATACTGTAAAACATTCAATGGAGAATTTTTTTGTAAAAAGATTCCAAGAATCAACTTTTCTTTGCTATCACCCTAGTTGAGCCCCTTAAATTCGACTGTAATATCCGTAGCGCTTGACGATTTTATATCGGGTTGCTCATGTGAAATTTGCATTTTAAAATTGTTAAAAAACAAAGACATATAAGTATTTTTCAATGATTTTAACTCTATTGAACCGCCTCAACATTTTGGTTAATGATGGATTACAATGCCGTATGAATGGGCTGTCGCGACTAGCCTTTCAGTAGCCAATTCTGTTCTGTCTCTCTACTCAATTTATCTATTTTGGCAAATAGAGAACGTCATTAAAGATGTCAAAACTCAAATAAGCCGCAGTTAAAAAAAGTAAACGATAGATGGCCTGGCCTGTCTATATATAAGTATACCACTTATCGATTAATTCGCCAACCAA